TATAGTTTTATAGTTTCATTCCCAAGTTTAGAATAGTTTGTTCTATCTTATAGTTGTCTTGACTTCCCTCCCATCTAGAAGTTCTGTAATGACACAGTTTTTTCCCCCTTTTTGCTCTTTTTGGTTTGTAGTTGTCCTTATTTGTCAATTGGTGTCTCTGGTTCCCTGTTTACAATCTTGTAAACTTATTTATTTTGGATACTTCCATACCTGGGTTAGTTTCTGGGTTATATTATCATGTGTGTTAATGGTCAGTTGTTGACTTGTTGATTCCCTGTCCAAAGGGCTCCCTTTAGCATCTTTTGTAAGGTAGGTCTGGTTTTAACAAATTCCCTTAATTTCTGCTTACATGGAAATGTCTTAATTTCACCATCATATTTGAGGGATAATTTTGCTGGGTACATAATTCTTGGTTGGAAATTTTTCTCTTTCAGGGTTTTATACATACCAATCCCATTGTGTTCTCGCCTGCATGGTTTCTGTCAAGAAATCTGAGCTTAGTCTTACTGGTTGCCCCTTGTAGGTAACTTTTGTTTTTCCCGTGCTGCTCTCATGATTCTTTCTTTGTCTTTGGTTTTGGTGAGTTTAATGATGATACGTCTTAGTGATTTTCTTTTGGGGTCTATCCTGTTTGGGGTTCATTGGACTTCCTGAATGGATATATTCTTTTCTTTAATCATACCAGGAAAATTCTCTTCCAACAGATCTTTGATAATTTTCTCTGTGGTTTTATTTGTCTCTTCCTGTTCTGGAATTCTGATGACAGGTATGTTATTCCTTTTGATGGTATCCCACATGAACCTTAGGCTTTCTTCATTTTGTTTTGATCTTTTTTCTGATTTGATCCCTTCCAGAGAAGTATTCAGGTATTTGTCTTCAATCTCACTAATTCTGTCTTCCGTTGATTCAATTCTACTCCTTTGCCTGTTCAGTGTCTTATTTATTTCTGAAAATTTAGTATTAATCTCCTGGATTTCTGTCTGTAGATTTTGTATCATTTCTGATTTTTCATTTATTTTGTCATTTTGTTCTTGTATTG